CAAAATGCAAGACGCCAAAGGAAACATTCCAACAAACATCCAAGAGACCCAAATCAACATGAAGACTACGTTCAAAACCTATACTCAAATAAGATGGAAAAACAAGTAGAAATAAATAAATTCCTTAGAGACATACAATCTGCCTAAGCTTAACCAAGAACATATAAACCAATCAAAAAGGCCCCTATCATGCAATGAGATTAAGGAAACAATCTTCCAACAAGGAGAAACCCAGGTCCCAATGGATTCACGCTGAATAATGTAAGTAGCACCAATAACATTCAAACTTTTCTGTGAATTAAAAAGAGGAGGACAAATTCCAAACTCATTCCATGAAGCCAGCATCACTCATCCAAAAACCAGGTAGGGTTCCAGGGAAAAAAGAGAACTATAGAGCAATCTCTCCAATGAACACAGAGGCAAAGCCTAGCAATAAAATAATAGCCAACAGAATTCAGCAAGTAATAAAAAAATCCTACATAATGATTATGTGAGCTTTATCCCCAGAGATTTGAAGCTGGTTTAACATACATAATCAGTAAACTCAATAAACCATATTCACAAAGCCAAATACATGGACCACATGATCATCTCAATAGATGTAGAAAATCTTTTGACAAAAACAAATATCCAGTCATGTTAAAAGCTCTGGAAAAACTTAAAATAGAAGGAACATACCTCAAAATAATAAAGGCTATGTATGACAGACATAAAGGAGATACAGGGAAAGGCAGCAAACTATCTCTATTTGCAGATAACACAAAATATACTTTTTACTATACAGATCTTTGCTTCCTTGTTTAGGTTTATTCCCAGGAATTCTATTTTTTAGGCTATTGCAAATGGAGTTGTTTCCCTGATTTCCCTCTTAGTTTATACAGTGTTGGTGTACAGCAAGGCTACTGATTTCCATGGGTTGATTTTGTGTCTTGTTCCTTTGCCAAAGTTATTGATCTGCTCTAGGACTTGAGGATTGGAGTCATTTGGGAGAATATATATATAGTCACCTACAAATAGAGATAGCTTGCCTTCTTTCTCTGTGTGAATCTCCTTTATATATTTTTCTTACCTTATAGCTGAGGCTAGGAACTCCAGAACTGCACTGAAGAAAGAAACCAAAGGTAACATCAAAAAATAAAAAGGGCCGGGAGCTGGTGGCTCACACTACTCAGAAGACTGAGATCTTAGGATCATGGTTCAAAGCAGCCTGGGCAGGAAAGTCCGAGACTCTGATCTCCAATAAACCACTAGAAAACCAGAAGTGCTGCTGTGGCTCAAGCAGAAGAGCGCTTGCCTTGAGCTGAAGAGCACAGAGACAGCTCCCAGGCCCAGAGAGAAAGAAAAAAAAAGAAATAGAAAGACCTTCCATGAGAGAGAATGGCCATCTTGCCTTATACCTGATTTTAGAGGAAATGGTTTTAGTTTTTCACTGTTGATTATTATGTTGGTTGTTGGTCTGTCATATATAGCCTTTATTATTTTGAGGTATGTTCCTTCAATTTTAAGCTTCTCCAGAGCTTTTTTTTTTTTGTCTGTCATGGGACTTAAACTCTGGGCTTGGGTGCTATCCCTGCGCTCTTCAGCTCAAGGTGAGTGCTCTACCGCTTGAGCCACAGAGCCACTTCTGGTTTTCTAGTGGTTTACTGGGGATAAGAGTCTCATGGAGTGGGGGGAGGATGGAATGGGAAGGGGAAACGAAGGAGGAGGCTACAATGCTTGATAAGAAATGTACTCATTATCTTTCCCATGTAATTGTAATCCCTCTGTACAGTATTTTCACAATAAAAAATTAATTAATTAATTAATTTAAAAAAAAGAGCCAGCCCGGGCTGGCTTTGAACCACGATCCTCGAATCTCAGCCTCCTGAGTAGCTAGGATTACAGGCATGAGCCACCAGCACCCGGCCCTCCAGAGCTTTTAACATGAATGGTTAGGAAAAGCATATTCATGGATAAGTAAAATTAATATTGTGAAAATGGCCATACTGAAAAAGTGCTGTATAAAGTTCTTTACCAAGATAGAAAAAACAATCCAAAAATTCATATGCAACAACAAAAATCCTTAAAGAGACCAAAGAAATTCTGGGCAAAAACAAGCAATGTGGGTAGTATCACAATCTCAGACCTTGAGCTCTATTACAGAGCTATAATAACAAAAACAGCCTGGTATTGGCATAAAAAAATAGACCCAAAGATCAATGGAACAGAGTGGAAGACCCAGAACTAAAGCCATACACTTACAATTATCTGATGTTTGATATGGGAGGTAATGATACTCAGTGGGAAAAAAAGATGGTCTCTTCAGTAATTGGTTTTGGGAAAATTGGGCATCCATAGGAAGAAAATTAGAAGTGGATCTCTGTTTGTCACCATGCACTAATATGAACTCCAAATGGATCAAAGACCTCAATGTCAGACCCCAAAATTTGAAATTACTACAAGGGAAAGTAGGAGAAAACTAGAACTCATAGGTCCAGGGAGAAAAGAGTCCTAGGGACATAGCAGATAGGAGGGAGACTTTCAAGCAGCTCTACAGCAAAATGAAAAGTTTCTGCACAGCTAAGGATATAGTTACCAAACTAGAAAGACAAACCACAGTCTTGGAGAAAAACTTCACCATCATTATATCAGATGAAGGCCTAATACCCAAAATATACAAGGATCTCAAGAAACTAACCGCTCCCATAGCTCATAAATCACTAAATGGGCAAAAAAGCTAAGGAGAAACTTATCAGAAAATGAGGTAAAAATGGCAATGAAACACATGAGGAAATGCTCATCATCCCTGGCCATAAATGAAATACAAATCAAAACTACCCTGAGGTACCATCTCTCTACAGTTAGAATGGTAGAAATAATGAATTTGAACTCCAACAAATGTTGTCAAGAATATGGGGGGGAAGGAATCCTGTTGCACTGTTGGAGGGAATGTAAACTAATACAACTACTCTGGACAGCAGTCTGGAGGTTCCTCAAAAAAACTAAACACAGCCCTTCCCTACAACCCAGCCATACCACTCCTGAGCATCTACCCAGAACATCATGAGCCAGGATACCATAAAGACACTTGTACATCCATATTCATTGCTGTACTATTCACAATAGCCAAGTGTGAAAATGCCTAGATGCCCTAGAATAATAGATGCGTGGATCAAAAAAATGTGGTACTTATACACAGCCATTAGAAAGAATACTATATAGTTTGCAGGGGAATGGATGAATCTAGTACAGGTGATGTTAAGTGAGGTAAGCCAAACTCAGAGAGACAAATGGCTCATGTTTTTCCTCATATATGGAAGTTAGATCTAAATTGCACTGAGATAAGATAAATTGTACCAGATTATAGACACTGACACACAGTGAGACCAAAAGAGGATTCTTAGGGGAGAAACACAAAGGCACAAAGCCTTTAGCTCCTCTTTATAATCATATAAAAGTTCACATATATATTTATATCAAAACAAACTCTAACTCCAAGATATGGAACAAAGAGATCTCTTTTTGATTTATTGTTTCTGTTTTCTTTCTGTCTACCTATGGGTCATCTGTCTGTCTATGGGAAGGGGCACAGAACTAGAGGGGAAAAGGATGAAAAAGTGCGATAGTGGTTCTTCCTGGACATTGTGTTGAATATGAACTACACAACTCAGGGGTAGAGATGACGGGGCCTTGGAGGGAGGGGGGGTGGGAGGGAGACAGCACACAACAGGAAATGTACTTATTATCTGACTTATGTAACTAATCCCTCAGTATATCACCTTTATAGTAATACTAAAGTAAATTCTAAAAAATAATGATGTGTAGAGGGAAATCAGGAAAATAATTCCTTTGCAAGACATTTGTAAAGACATTTGCATATCCACGTTTATTGCTGCACTATTCATAGTGGTCAAGTTATGGAAACAGCCCAAATAGTTGATAATGGATGAATGGATCAAGCAAATGTGGTGTTTGTACACAATGGAATTTTACACAGCCATAAGCAAGAATAGTATTATGTCACTTGCAGGAAAGTAGATGGACCTTAAAAAAAATCATATCAAGTGAGTAAGCCAGGCTCAGAGATAAACAGTTCATGTTTTCCCTAATATGTGGAAAGTAGATAAAAAATACAAATATGCATGATAACATATTTTACACACAAAGAAAATGACTAATGGAGGAGACACATACAGGAGGAATCCAAAGGGGTAGCACCTCTGAACACCCATGCCCTGTTCAACAAAAGGAATACCTGAAAGTAGAAACATTATTTGAGGGGAGGATGAGGAGAGCAAAATGAAGGGAGGGAAGGAGGAATGGAGGAAGGAAGGAAGGAAGGAAGGGTGAGCAAATCCAGTCATTATATTCAATGTTCATTATGTAGAAACTGAGCTGGGTAATGGGAGGGTAGGGATGTGAGGGGAACAGAGGAGAAGGATGGAAGTTGTGACACTGACCAAGAAGCACTGTACTCACAACCTGACTTATGGAATTGTAAACTCATTGTACAATTACATAATAATAATAGTAATACTAAAGAAATGTGCAGCGTTTCACATTTTCTTAGGAACCCATTCTTCCTGTCACCTCTATTTATACTAAAATGTGTTCCTTCCTCAGAATTTTAAATAATTTCTAATGTAAACATCCCAGGAAAGTGCCCATTTTTACTAATTCCAAGTCTCGTTTGACATCAGTGGTATGGGAACAGTTAGGCTCATGAATATTCACAATTAATACATGCACACATCAACATGGAAATCTTCTGAATTCTATCCATGAGCACACAAGCATTTATCCATGACAGGAAAATCACTGGACCCCACCTCAGTCAAATAAAGCAGGACCGAAGGACAGAGGAATCTCCGTCACATCGCGGTAGGTGGAAATTTACACTTGCAGTATTCTGCCAATAAGTGGGCCACAAGTAGCTCCCTCAATACCTTGTGGTTTACCATCTGCTCCGTACATACTTGTTGTTTCCCTTAAGATAACACCTGCACGGGACTCGGAGGTACCTGAGGTAATCTGTACAAGCTCAGGAGTCTTGAAGTGGCAATCGATAAGGCTGAGCCTCCTGATCCAATAACTCCTAGCAGATAGGCCCCGGTGCTGTTTCTTATGTTGGGTTTGTTTTCTTCCTGCCCCATGAGCATGACCACAGCTGACTCCATAGCTTTGGACACGGTGCAACATGTATCAAAGATCTGATAGCCCAGAGTGTGCTGGGGCAAAATGTCCTTCCTCTCATTGATCTCCTGGATGGTGTGGATCATGGTCTTCATCCAGCGGAATCCTCGAAAGTTGAACCTGGAAAGGAAATCACTCTCATAAGGCAAAAGACAAAAGTCACTCTTATAAGGAGTTTGAAGCTCGGATGAGTGACAACAGCATACTGCCAAAACGTCAACGGGTTCCACAATTGTCTGAGCTTGCTATTTTTTCACAATGATGTAATGAAGTGCACAAATTCAACATGAATCATAATGACCATTGACAGATTAGGATGAACCTTTTGGGGTGTATTTTTTAATTTTATTTATTGAAAAGATGCTGTACAGAGGGGTCACAGTTGCCTGAGTAAGGGAATGAGTATATAACTTGTCTAATGTTGTTCCCCTTCCCACTGTCCCTTCCCTCCCCAACTTCCCTAACTTCTCCCCAACCCCACTCCTCCACCCTAAGTTTTAAAGTTGAGTTCCAATTTACAGTCTTGTGGATCTCATTGTTACAATGGGTCATCCTGTATCCTTGTTTCAGCATTTTGTTATTCCCCTTTCCTTCCCCAAATTAGACAAAGATATACAAAAGATGCAGGGAACCAAAATCAAGTACAATGACAACCGGGGATATACCACAGGGGGAAGAATATACAAAGGAAACAAAAAAATTGTATAGTACATTTAAAAGAATGCTTCCATCAGAAAGAATGACACTGCCCCATTTGTTAGGAAATGAAAATAATTGGAAAAAATCATATTAAGTGAAGTAAGCCAGACCCAAAGAAATATAGGTCCCATGGTTTCCCTCATTTGCAATAACTAGTATACGTTTAGGATAATTTTATCAGGTGAGCAGAAAAAATCTTAAAAACTATATACATATGACCACATAAAATGATGCTAAGTGAAATGAACCCCAAGATATGGACACAAGAGACCTTTCCTTGTTGTTGTTTGGGGGGTATCTTTTACCTGGTATACGCTTGCGGGATTGCTGATTGACCTCTTCATAAAAAATGCTCTTCTATAGCACATTCTTCTGTCTCCTCTCCACACTGGGTTGGCTTTCTTTTCAACATGAAGTAAAATTATCATATTTGTAACAATATTTAAGGTGGTCTGCCTTTCTGCCTGTGTGGCTGACAGATGGGGGCCGGCATAAGCCTTCATGGATAAAGCAACCAGCCCTGCTTAAGCTCCAAAGCTAAAGCAGGACCCACCCCAAACTTCCCACCTGAAGCTACTTAGTGAGACTTCCCCCGAGCTTCTCCCCCTTGATGCCCAACCTTCCACAAAACTTCCCTTAATACACAAGGCTTTGCACAATCGACACTGCCTTTTCTATCCCTATAAGGGAGCTCTTCTCTCTTTCTTACTAACTACTCACTCTTTTAACTCCACAAGACAGACAATCATATTCCCTACCATCCCCAGTCCTCAGGAAAGTTAGAAAGAGCTAACAAAACCCTTAGAAAATGTTAACCCAATGAACCCTGGAGCTCAAACAAGACTGGGATAAACTGTTACCCCTAGTGCTTCCCCATACATAAATCCTAACTCCCTTCTCTGGCTAATACACCTTCTTCCCTTCTATACCCTAAATAAATGGGCCTCTGCTCTGGCTCTCTCGCTAATCTACCACTGACAGTGGCTGGCTGGGTAACACACTGGGGCAGCTTCTCTCTCTTACTTCTCTCTCCTTTTCCCACCGGAAAACCCCATAATAAAAAACAAACCAGTCCTTCTTTTGTCTTTGGGACTCAGACAATAATCCAATCCTTTTCTCTTTCCTGAGTCTACTCACTTCAGAATTTGGATTCTTAATTTCTCCTTTAAAGCAAACTCCTCTGCATAAGGCTCCCTGGAGGGGTTTCCCCAACCCCTTCTCTATACAGGCCTTAGAGACTGACACCTAGGAAGAGACAAAGGCCACACAGTTGGTTTTTTCCCAAGCCTCACTCTTTCACCAAGCTTACTGTCTTCATTTCTCTAGGTGATCAAAGATTAGCTCATATACTAATGTGCCTCATTACCAAAACTGTCTTAAAGGTTTTCTGTTCTTGTGATCAGTGTTTGTGTATGCATGGAGGTTCTGTTAAATTCTCTTTGTCGTTGGCAGAAGTTAAACTAAAGTGCTTCTGCCTTGTGTTTTGAGTTTTGCCTTGTGTTTTGTTTAGTGTTATCTGTTTTCTAGCATTGATCATGTGGTTCTATCATACACTGGGAAAAAATGTCTTTTGCCATTGGAATTCAAAAAAACTTCATGCTGACTTTCATTTCTTTAAAACCTAAATGCATCTTTTGAGCGTGTGTGTGTGCATGTATACGCATGTATATGTACATATTCAAAGTAATCTTATTGTAATGCATTAAAAACAGTCATCCTGATGTAAAAAAGTAATCTTTTTCTACTTTTTGGTACTGATAATTTCCTGAAATTATTTGTTCCTTGCTTGCGATTGTAAATCTTGTGTCAAATGAGTTAATTATCAAGGTGCTTCTTGTTACAAGGAAATATCTTTACAAAGGGAAGTAGTAAAAGGAGTGAGACCCAGCCCCATTCCCACCAGGTGTGATGGAGAACACCAGAAAGGAGATAAGGAAATATAAAGAAAGAGCCAAGTTAGCAAAGAAAGTCTTGGGAAAGGAATTGAGCAAACAAAAAATAGATTCCTTGGGATAAGAAAGGATTGGGGAAGAATTGTCTTAAATGTTTGTTCCAAAATGGAAAGACAAACTCCAGAAGGTTCGAGTATGTAGCAGATGATATGAATATGTCTTAAAAGATAGAGCTTATGTGTAAAGTTTGTTATGTAACTAAGTTGGCTGTGATTTAAATAAGGTCAAAATTAGTACAAAATCAGCATCTCTCTCTCTCTCTCTCTCTCTTTTTTTTTGGTAGGTCATGGGGCCTGTACTCTGGGCCTGGGAGCTGTCCTTCAACTCTTCAGCTCAAGGCTAGTGCCCTACCACTTGAGCCACAGCACCACTTCCAGCTTTTTTCTGCTTAGGTGGTGCTGAGGAATCGAACCCAGGGCCTCATGCATGTGAGGCAAGCACTCTACCACTGAGCCAAACTCCGAGTCCAGCATCTCATTTTTTATAAGTAATTGTTTGTGTAAACCAAAGTTCACTTAAGTGTTTATGTCAAAGTCCTTCAAATGAACACCTTTTAACTCAAGTGCCATTTTTCCCTGTTTAATATGGAAGCCTCCTTGGATATAGGGCTAAAATAAGAACAACTCCTACATCCTTTGTAATTACAAAGGCTTCTTGACACCTACAATGTCTTAACCTCAATTAGTATCCTAGTGTTAAATGCAATTAAGAATAAAAATATTTATATTTGATCGCCTTGTTGCTTCAACTGGGAGTAAGGGATGATCTTGGGATCATGGTTGAAAGCCAGCACAAGTAGAAAAACCCCTGTCAGACTCTCATCTCTAAGTAATCAGCAAAATTCTGGAAGTGGTGCTGCAGCTCAAAGTGGTAGAGTATTAGCCTTGAACAGAAGTGCTCAGGTTCAGTGCCTAGGCCTTTAGTTCAAGCCCCATGACTGACAAGAAGCAGACACCCCCGGACCTAAGCTTGTCCTGGTGATGAGAGTCTGTCCAGAGGCAGTTGAATGAAACACACTGTGCAAAATCCCAAATAGCGCCACTTTGTGCTTATCCTCTCCTAATTAACCAGGGCCAGAGATCAAAAGAAAAAGTGAATAAGTATGCTGTCGCACCCATACCTGTCTTCCTCCTAACTGGACAGGAGCTCACATTCTTACCATTACTACCTGCTGTTTCTAAGACTCAGGACAGTTTGCCTTGGTACCTTCCTGGGTGCCATCCAGCTCTGGAACCCAGACATCTACCATGTCTCTTCCTGTCCAGCCCTAGCTTCTGACTGGTTATTCTTAATTGGTCCAGCATGCTCTCCCCTAACCACACCAGAAACCCTAGACTCTCCCTTCCTGCCCCCAATCTAGTTGCATAAAGATTCTTCCTTCCCTGTAATATGCCACAAATGGCTCCAAATGGAACTTTTCTGGCATGTGCCCAGGGGGTAGTTTTTTGCCACCTTGTCAGCCTTTTGCCTGATCTCACCTTTTTCTTTTTTCTTCTTTTTTGCCAGTTGTGGGGCCTGAACTCTGGGCCTGGGCACTGTCCCTCAGCTCTTCAGCTCAAGGCTGGCGCTCTACCACTTGAGCCACATCATCACTTAAGGCTTTTTCTGTTTATGTGGTGCTTAGGAATCAAACCCAGGGTCTCATGCATGCAAGGCAAGCACTCTACCACTGAGCCACCTTCCCAGCCCCTCACCTTTTTCAAAACTTTCCCTCTAACAAGATACCAGCCCTTACTCAGGACACCACCTGGGAGCACATGAAAGCCATCCTATCACTGCAGGTCACCAGAGGCTTCACTTACACCACCCTGCCCTGCCCAGAGCAGACCTGGACCCTGAAGACCCCAGCCCCAGTGACTCCTCAATGCCCCCAGGCCAGCAGGAAGTAGCTGGAAAGACCCTTTCCCCAGTCTCCCCTCTTGGCCCAATCTTTTTATGTAACCAAAGATGGAGTGTGAAGGGTTGATTCCCACCCTGCTTTCCCAGCTGCACAGAGATACAGGCAAGCCACCAAAGACATGTGCAGACTGCCTGAGCAGGCCGAGCAATCTACCTGAGCCTGGTGGCAAATATCCCATTTATATGTATGTTTATATTCATATAAATAAATGTATACTTATATATATATATATTTATTCCATTGTGAACACAACTGAAAAGCCCCCCATCTCCTCGAACTAATGGCTTTTTCACTAACCTCTGCTTCTTTGTTCAGACCTCATAAACACTCGGGTCCTGTCCCATTTCTTTGCACACTCTCCAAACCCATAGCAAGGTTGAACTCCTCGCTGCTCTATCTCAATAAACAGTTCTCGCCTGCGCACAAGGTAAGTTGTCCAACATGAAACTATGTCATTATGTTGGTCATGACTATTTCAAAGTGACTGAAGTATTTGGAAAGAACCAAAAAAGAACATAAAAGGAAGAAATGGTCCATATTTGCCATTTTTATACCTAAATTTTTTACACCCAAAACGTGTCTCTGTATGTGTGCATGCTCCACACCTGATCACCAGCAAAGGTGCATGAAAGGCACAGGTTCTCTTTCCTGTGCAGTCATCTTAAGGCAAGCTCAGCAGAGCAGAGCCCATGTGGCAGCTGGAGGAATCTGACCCTGAACATCAGAGTCCCTGGACCAAACAGGCTTTCACAGAGGAGAATGCGGGCCTTATGAGTGACAGCTACGCTGTCATGTTGCATACTCTGCCCCGCTGCCCCTCAAAGCATTACGCATGTATGGATCATCAGGAGGTTCTGGAGTCTTGAGTTCTGGTTCACCAGCCTGGGTGCCCCTTGATTCTATCTGAGTGACAAGTCTGAGGTGGAGCTGGAGCTGCTGGCCTTGGCCCCCTCTGAGGACAACACTCCACATCAGGGGTAACCATTCCTTCTTGTGTGAGCATGCAATTAGGAGAGACCTGGTTGACTTTAAGCTTTGGTGATTCTGATGCCCACCTGAAAGAAACTGGGGTATTCAAACATGAGCCCCTAGTCTGACTCCCACAGTCCCATGGCTCCAGTTGGGAACCAGGCCAGCCCGCCACTCTTTGCCCACCACCTAGAATGGAGGGAGAAGATTCCGACATGGCTTACCCTTCACATTGGGCTGACACTGGCTCGAAACTAGACTCGTTTTCTGGGATGGTCCTGGAGTGAATAGGAAACAGACCTCCAATAATAATGGAATGGTTTTTGGCATCCACATAACCATTCAAATCAAACTTTCGCATCAATCTGCAGGTCTCTTCCTCTTCTTCTTCTTGGCCTTTAGTGCCCAACTCGGCCCATACAAACAGCAGAACTCCCAGAACCAGGTATGTCCTTCTGCTGGCCATCTCAGTGCCAGTGAGCAAGGCGAGTGTGTTGAAATCGCAGGTGTTTTCATGAGGCTCCTGGGAGGAGCATCACTGTGTGCTCATCCCACTGGGCTTGGCTTGCTGCTACTTGTTACATAATTGTCATGTCTGCCACTCACAGCATCTCAGGCACTGACAATTTATGCATCAGAACTAGGAACTGAGGCTTTCCTTCTAGAAGAGCTCCTGAAAATCCCTTTCCCACTTAGCAATGGTCCAGGAGGACACATGGTGACTGTTGGGCTGTGAGGCACTGCCCTTTGTGGAAACTCTCCCTTCCTCTTACCACCTACAGCCTGACTCCTTAGTTTGTGCTTCCTGTGAGTCCTCTAATGACCCAACATTGAGAGAAAGTGCACTGCATCTTGACAAGGCACCCAAAGAGGTGACATCAGGAAAGGTAAAGGAAAATGCAATTTGGAATGGAAGATGTGGAGATAGGCTATTTAAATTATTATCCAGGCAAAAATTTACTCAAAAGAGAAAACTGAAATAAGGTCTCTCAAAAGATTTTATCTTAGCTATCATCAAACCAAAATACCCCTGATCACAGCCCCCTTAATAACTGCAATAAAAAATGTGAGCCAGCTGTGCACTGGTGGTCCTATCTACTAAGGAGGCTGAGATCTGAGGATGGTGGTTCAAAGCCAGCCCGGGAAGTAAAGTCTGTGAGCCTCTTATCTCCAATGAACCACTAAAAAACTGGAAGTGGCGCTATGGCTCAAGTGGTAGAGCACTCGCCTTGAGCTGAAGAGCTGAAGGACAAAGCCCAGGCACAGAGTTCAAGCCCCACGACCAACCAAAAAAAAAAAAAAAAAGTGAGCCACTGCACCAAGCTCTTAGATTCTTCTATGACTAATACCATAGCACTAAGGGGGAAATGCAGTTTTTTTTGTTTTGTTTTCATGAGTTTACAATTCCTCCACAATATTCATTCAGTTAAAACACCTGAACACACACACCACCATTTCACCATTACGCTATTTCACCATTCCCATTTCCAGTCATCTGCTCACATTTCACTGTACACATTGTCCCTCTCTTGGATTCATGGAACTAAAAGATTATTTGATTATCACAAGCAAGACCATATTAAAGTTACCACCACGACTATGTTTATTGCAGCATTATTTACCATAGCTAAGATATGGAGCCAACCCAGATGCCCCTCAGTAGCTGAATGGATCAAGAAAATGTGGTATATATATATACAATGTAATTCTATGCCGCCATCAGAAAGAATGGCATTGCCTCATTTGTTAGGAAATGGAAAGACTTGGAAAAAATTCTATTAAAGTGAGGTAAGCCAGGCCCAAACATAGGTCCCATGGTTTCCTTTATTTGCAATAACTGGTATATGTCTGAGACAAGCAGAAAAGGTCAGATAAGTTGATGTTAGGTGAAATGAACCCCAAGATAAGTATTCAAATGTTTTTTTTTCTTTCTTGTGATTGTTTCTAACATATTTATAAGATGATTTCTTTGTTGTTTTGTATGTCCCTCCCCCACGATATAACCCCTGCTTTCACTGTATTTAATGTTGGTAAACTTTGTGGAGGGGAAGGGAAAAAAACAAATCGTTTAAATAGGGATGCAGGTGGACCCATTACAATAATGAGATGTATAAGTTGTTATGTCGAAAAACAAACTTTACAACTTTGGCTGTGGGGGAGGATGGGAAGGGATGGGAAAGGGAAACAGAGGAGGCAACAATGCTTGATAAGAAATGTATTCATTACCTTGCCCATTTAATTGTAACCCCTCTGTTTGGTATTTTCACAATAAAAAAATAAATATTAAATTAAACCATAAAAAAGATTGTAAATGACTGCTGACCTGGGGCACTCCTAAAGCACACTCCCCTTCCTGTTCACTGTATAATCCAGAGTCACACCTGTCTGTTAGAGTGAGCTTGGAGATGGCAGACTCCAGATCCTAACCAGGGCAGCTTTCAGCTGTGTATCAAATGTCTCATTCGCCTCCATTTCCTAAGGTATCAGTACTCTACATTTCCCTCCCCTGACACAATGATGCCGACAAGACTTAAAGCCTGGTTCTCAGGACATTTGGCTCCAGAATGCTGTTTCCTTTCATCCAAACACAAGGGCACACTGGGTAACCAACTACTCCTCAAGAGCCCAAGAACTCGCCCTGGAGGGAAGAGGGTCAGGGCCACCATGGCCTTGGTCAGGACCGGGGTGGGACAGATTTTCTCATTCTGCCTCCTCCTTTCCTACCAGATGGCAGCTGTGAGTAATTCCCCTGTGTGCTGGGAAGGGCACCAGCAGCATGTTTACCCCAACTGATTTCCTGCATCTTCAGGGTACACCCTGGCTAGGGACCACGAGAAATCATTAACGCAAGTCATGCGAAGTTATACTAATAGTTCAGAACTAGTACTCCACACAGCAGCATTGCTCTCACAGACCTCACTCTTGCTCTAGGTCAGGAACTGGATTCGGGTCGATGGGAAGCCTGGTGCCGAGCAGCATCTGCTCCCCCTGCCTTTGTGATCCTCAAAGGAGCAGTGACTTCATCCTTCCCTGTCTTCATGTCAAGAATTCATCACAGATAAGGGGAAATCACAGAGAAAGCACCCAGGCCTTTGGCAGAGGATTCATGATATCCTCACTGGGGATGCTTCATTTTTTTCCTAGTAGTGCCCTTGATGACTGTTTCTGCTTTCTTCACAGGTGGAGAATCAAGACCACATTGCACCTGCTCCTCTCCTCAACCCAGTAGAGAGAAAGGTTGTGCTCTACCCTAGGATGAAGAGCTCTGGCTCCTGCTTCCTTACTGCCTGGCCCTCTCTTAGTCTCTGGTCCTCAGACCCTTCATCACACAGCCTGGAACTGACGTTAAGCGGACTTTTCCCAGGCCTCAGGGTCACAAGCTGGTAAAGTTTGCTCTAGGAGAGCTTTTCCAAGGCTCTGACTTAATGACAACTTAATGACATCCTGCCCAACCACACACTGGGAACTTGTTTTCTAATCTAGCAGAGTGACATGCTTTCTCCACAGCATTTCAGTGAGATTACCTGGGGACAAATGGCCACAGGTGTCCACACCACGTCCTGGATCTGAGGTGGGCAAGTCTAAGATTCTCACATCCTCTTCTTCCCCCAATCAACGCTTGAGCTCCGCCAAGGTCCTGGTGAGTTTCTCTCCCTTCCAGGACCAGTGACACGTTCTGTCCAGACTTGCCTTTGTCTTCAAGCAAGGCAACAGCTGAGCCCACAAAGTTCTGTAAACAACTTATTAACAGGTGCTCTTGTGCTCAGCAAGGCAGGTGTCCCTCTTTCTGTATGGCCCATCCTGGCAGGTGAACAGCATCCTGGTGAACAGCATCACAGCCATCTGGTCAGATCAGCTGGTGAGTCGTCTCTGCGCTTTTCAATTTCTCAGCATCATTCCTTCAGCTTTGTAGTCATTGGTAAAGTTAACACATCCTAGGTACCAGCCATCCAGTAGATGAATGGTTCCACTCACCTACATCACCTCTTGGTTCCTATACAGAACTCCTTAACAGTGGAGACAAGGACAGAACACCCAGCTGTGTTGCTTCCATTGCTGTTTCCACTGAGGACACACACACGGGCTGTCCTAGTGTGTGTCATAAGGGCCAAGAAACCAATACCTGTGATTAGAACTTCCAGACAAGGCAAATACAGGCTGCAGCTCCTGTTGTCTCTGTTGTCAGGGGCAGTGTGATTGGCTGACTGAGAAGCAGCACTTCCCCCATGCAGACCCTCCAGCCACCTGCTTATCTTCCTGCACAGCCACACTTCAGAGCTGCACGTGCACCACAGGTGGTGAGTAACAGAATCAGGACAAGCCTAGAGCCATTTCTCAAAAGAAAAAGGCACTACTTGGCTGTCAGCTCTTGCTCAACTAAGTTTTCTCTCTTAATCCCCAGCCCCTGTGGCTAACCCTCAGATTTCAACATCCTGCACTGCCCTGCACTGTCCCCTACACTGCCCCTTAGGTATCTCAGCCTATAAGAGTCACTCTCTCTACTTGGGGGCAGAGGGGTCTCCCAGGTTTGTCCCAAACCAACCTGCTCTGGTTTCTGAGTTTGTCCCAATTAGCCTGTCTCCTCCACTCTGTTTTCCTAAGCCATTTAAAAGGCAAAACTTGGTGGGTTTTGCCCCTTAAAGATATGCAACTATCACCACGGACTGTTACCCAAATGAAATCCTCCCTGGCCAATCACTCATCACGCATTCCATCTCCCTCCCAACCCCTAAGCAAGGACAAATCCACTCTCCTGTCAGTGAAGGTCTCCCTGTCCCAGATGTTTATAGAAACATCAGACAAGATGTGGTAGCCTTGTCTCACCTTTGTCATTGAGGCTGATGTTTTCAAGGTGCATTCATGTGGGGGGGTTGTTGGGTGCCTTCTTCCTTCCTTCCTGCTGCCTCCTCTGTGTTGCTCATAATATTCCCGTGTGTGGATGCACCATATTTCACTCACCTGTTCACTGTTCTGGATTGTCCCACACTGTTCCAGGATATATCCTCTTCTGAATGTTTTGAATTTAACTTGCATTCCGATACACTGTCTAATTTCTGCTGATTTTGGTGTGTGATGTGTAGCATAAGGTCTAGGTTCTTTTTGTTTTCTTTCCAAATAACCAACTGTCCTAACAGTATTTGTTGTCTAAGGCCATACCACACTGGATGTGCCCCATCTCATCGGGCGCCATATTTGTTGGACAGACTTCCTTCCCCCTGGAATTTCTGTGGCACTCTTGACAATATGTAGTTGGCTACTGATATAAGGATTTTCTCTTGCAATTCTGGATCATTGGTGTACATGTGAATCCTTACGCTGTTTTTATTGCTGTAGCTTTGTAAAACCCTGAAATCAGGATGTGTACGTTCTACAATTTTATTCTCCTTTTTGTATGTTGTTTCCTATATTTTAACACATGCTAGGCCTAGCCTTTACCAGGTGAATTTCTGAATCAGCTAGTAAGTT